CCATTGACCATGGGAATGGTGTTACCAACATCACATTTTCCCCATTGCAGTGCATATCTCCACGGATGACAATTATGTTGCAGATCATCTAAGCCGTTTGACATCAAGAACCCATGAATGGTCTCTCAATGATACCATTTTCCATCAAATTTGTCAATCCCTGCCATCGATGCATTTGCATCGGGTACGAACACGAATTGCAAGGTCTGCTGTTCTCGAGCTGGAGCAGACAAGAACTCTATCAGGGATTCGTTCATGACGGATTGGAGCAGGGAATTACTGTACCTATTCCCGTTGATACCACTCATCCAGCAGACGATCATCTGCCTCCGTCACTTCCAGTTGAATGCGATCCTCATAGCTCCCTGGTGGCCGAGACAGCCCTGGTTCACTTACCTCTGATCGATGTTGACAGACACATTTCGACTCCCTCTGTTCCCTGACCTCCTGACGTTGAACGAATGGATGACCCAGACCTTCCATCCCTGAACTTGACAGCTTGGAGGATACTCCTGCCTTAAAGCACATCCTGAATTGAGCCAGAAAACCATCAACTCGACTCCTATATGAAAATAAGTGGAAAGCTTTCCTTAAATATACGGAAACACATAACTTACCCGCCATACCTGTCTCCTTGGATAAGTTACTTACCTTCTTACTCCATCTTTTTGAATTTGAAGTCTCACATTCAACTTTAAAGGTTTATATATCAGCTGTTGTTGCCCGTCAACCAGATAACTCTAGTTCAGCAAAACATTTGTCTCACCCTACGGTTAAGAAATTTCTCAAAGGGCACAACAACATTCGCCCACCACACTGGTTCTTAACCTTTGTTACTCAGATGTTTTTGGATTGCAACTCCCAGAAGCCTTCACCATCAGCTCTGCTAGCTAGGGTTTCTGGGAGTTGCAGTTCAAAAACACCTGAGTAACAAAGGTTAAGAACCACTGGCCCACCATGCCAATGTATCATTCCCCAATGGTCACTGCAAATCGTTCTCAATGCGCTTATGCGTCCACCATTTGAATCTATGGCTTCCTCAAATCTTAAATTACTTTCTTTGAAAACATCATTCCTGATGGCTATAACATCTGTTTAAAGAGCCACTGAGCTTGCTGCCAGTGCTGATCCACCATTTATCCAATTTTACGCAGATAAAATGACTTTATATTTTGATGTTTCCTTCTTACCTAAGGTTGTGTCAGAATTTCATCTTAATCAGCTATTCATATTACCATCGTTCTTTAAATCACCATCATCTCTTCTAGAGCACATGCTCCATATGCTCGATGTAAGACACTCTCTTGCATTCTATATTGACAGAACTAAGGCTTTCAGAAAAACTAACAGGCTTTTCATATGCTTCCATGGTCCTCACAAGGGAGGTCCAGGCTCATCTCAATCCATTTCCAGATGGATAGTCCAGACTATATCTCTGGCTTATGAACTGTCAGGTAAATCACCTCCCGATCAACCGAAACCACACTCCACTATGTCGACTTCTACTGCCTTCCAGCATGGAATCGAAATTCCTAACATCTGTCATGCTGCCACATGGTCCACCCCATCAACCTCTGTCAAGCAGTACCATCTAGATGTGAGAGCACACAATGATGCTGGATTTAGCACAGCTGTGTTGGCCTCCTTCCTACTGTGATGTCCCACCATCCGGTAAGTGAAACTTCCTAGTCACCCATTTGTGTGCATTCACAGAGGCCACGAAGAAGAAAAAGAGGTTACCTACCTGTAACCATAATTCTTCTAGTGGTCCTCTGTGAATTCCCCCATCTCACCCATCCTCCCCTCTGTCCGTTATGGGTTATTTTAATGACTCTTCTGCCTGTCGACTTCTACTGCCTTCCAGCATGGAATCGAAATTCCTAACATCTGTCATGCTGCCACATGGTCCACCCCATCAACCTCTGTCAAGCAGTACCATCTAGATGTGAGAGCACACAATGATGCTGGATTTGACAGAGCTGTATTGGCACACTTCTTACTGTGACGTCTCACCATCCAGTAAGTGAAGCTTGCTAGTCACCCATTCACAGAGGCCACAAAGAAGAAAATGTTACTTACCTGTAATTCTTCTAGTGGTCCTCTGTGAATTCCCCCATCTCACCCATCCTCCCCTCTGTCCGTTATGGGTTATTTTAATGACTCTTCTGCCTGGCGGACAAAATTTAGGAACTGAGGGGAATCTTGGGTGGAGGAGCATATGGCCCATGGGGGATCATCCGACTAAATTGTTACTTTTAGCTCTAGAATATTCTGAGAATGTCAGCGCAGATGCAGAACAACCCATTTGTGTGAATTCACAGAGGACCACTAGAAGAACTATGGTTACAGGTAGGTAACCTCTTTATCTTTCAGGTCAGAGGTCACGAGGTAGAAGTTGTGCTCACAAGCTGACTTGGCTTAGAGGGAACATTGGTGGAGCCCCTCCCAAACTAGAAGTTTGTCTCCAGTTATAACTGGGGGAATGTAGCTTAAAAGAGACTAAAAACTAAGTGAGAGAGCGAAGCTGCAGGATCTTCACTAAAATTTTCTCTCCCACTGTTTCCTGTCCATGAGCCCTGTTTGATGACTTATAACACCAGGAAGTAGATCACAGTGGCTGGTTTCAATGGGACATTTGTAAGAAACAGGCGATGCAGCAGGGGTCACCTCAGTGGGAGGGGGACTCAAGGGTAGGCAGTACTGGCAAGTCTGAACATGCTTATTTATTTATTTTTTGCTTACCCAGTGGTTTTTTTGCTTACTTCCATTGATTCCTATGGGACATTTGTAAGAAACAGGCGATGCAGCAGGGGTCACCTCAGCGGGAGGGGGACTCAAGGGTAGGCAGTACTGGCAACTCTGAAAATGCTTATTTATTTATTTTTTACTTACCCAGTGGTTTTTTGCTTACTTCCATTGATGCCTGGGATGATATATGCAAATGAGCTATGCTAATGAGAGTACCAGCAGCCCCTTTTCTATGAAATGACCCCTAGGTTCCAGTATATAGAAAAATTTAATAAGACTTTATAAATAATTATATTCCATACCACTGTTGTGGTATTTATCTTAAAATTTTAAAAATATAGATTTGCAGTTACATTTTTTTGAAGAAACTAATCTGTATAAAACTGTGCCTCTCTCAGGTCAGTTCTGCGCTCCTCTGAGTTCAGTTTTTCTATGAAATGACCCCTAGGTTCCAGTATATAGAAAAATTTAATAAGACTTTATAAATAATTATATTCCATACCACTGTTGTGGTATTTATCTTAAAATTTTAAAAATATAGATTTGCAGTTACATTTTTTTGAAGAAACTAATCTGTATAAAACTGTGCCTCTCTCAGGTCAGTTCTGCGCTCCTCTGAGTTCAGTTCTGCGACCCTCTGAGGTCAATTTTGCACCCCTCTCAGGTCTGTGCTGTAGGTGGTCACCTAGTTTGCTTAATGGTAGCTCCAGCCCTACACCTAGGCCAAATTCAACCACATTATTTTGTTCCCAATCACTATGTACATTTGTGAAAGCTGGACACTGAAGATGGCTGACAAGGAAAAATATTGATTTGTTTGAAATATGGTGCTGGAGGAGAGATTTGCAGATAACTTGGGCTGCTAGAAAGATGAACAAATGGATCCTAGAGCAAATTAAGCCAGAACTTTCTCTGAAAGCAAGAAGGTTGAAACTGAGTCTGTCCTACTTTGGGTACATCATAAAAAGGCAAGATTCTGTGGAAAAGACAATAATCTTGGGAACAGTAGAAAAGTAGAAGACAGTAGGAAAAGAGGAAGACCAAATACAAGATGGACTGACTTCCTAAAAGAAGCCGCAGACTTGAGTTTATGAAAGCTTAGTAGAATTGTTGAGGACAGGACATTATGGAGATCACTCATTCAAAGTGTTGCCATAAGTCATAGGCAATTTGATAACACTTACCAAGAGATATTCTTAATTTTAAAGTGCATTTTTGAACAAATACTGTAGCATTATTGCAAAACTAAGCGATACGTGAAATATGAAGGATGATTGTGTTTGAGCCACATAGTCTGAAAATTGCACATCAGGTCACTTTCCAGTAAGATGCAAAGAGGTAAATTTGGTCATGTGTATAAAACGTTTGTGACCAGACAGAGCATGAAACTAGTCTAGTGTCTTCTGGAATTGAACCCAAGAATGGTGATGTTGTTATCCACTAAGATACGCTAGAGTAGCACTTTGCTTCCTAAAATACAGTATATTTTTCTTTGAAGCTATTTGGTTCCATCATTTTGAGAAGAATAAATATAACTTGAAATATGCTAGTAAAATTCTGTAAACATGTTTTTGCATAATTTGCATTGAGTCTGAGGAATTAAATTAACTGCTTTTTCCGTTTTATGCTTGAAGCTTTTCAAAATTTGGTCCAAGCTTATGTTCATACAAGCTTTAAATTACAATTATGAAAAGATGTAGACCTTGCTATGGCACTCTAAGAATGTCAGAATATCATTAAATCATGGAGGATTAAGTAGCCTTTGGGAATCTCGCTTTAAACAGATGTTGAGAGCTTGGAAAAGACAATATTTTCAACATCTGGTCTCCGTGAATGACAGAATCCTGAACGGCGTCATAGGAGGAAAGTGACCCCCACACTCATTGTTTGTTTCATGTTTGAAATGTGTTTGGAATCAGCAAATGTGTTGGTCCTAATTACACTTAATCTTGTTGGATGCATTCTGTTTTGCAAGAAATTAATCCAGTTTCACTGAGCTGTAGAAAGTTTCGTGGAAACCATAAAAACTGGATGATTCAAAAGAGCCTCTTAGCTTCCAGTGAATCACTGTATTTCATAGGATCTGGTGTGGTGGCAGCCAGGAGTATAAACTGTATCTACTCAAAAGGAAGTTCCATTACATACGGATAAATGGACTTTTTTTCAAATAAGTGTGTATAGGATTACAAGCTCACAGTTCTGTAATACTCTCTGTTTCTGATGATGATCATGTTGTATTCACTTTCTTGCAGAATTGCTGTTTCCTCTCTAGGCCCTACTTTCCCATACCTGCCTTAACGTGGTGAGGGGTTTGAGTGTACCAAAGAAGCTACGAGCAATGCCATCAGAAGGCTAAACTGTGTTATAAGCCTGAACTCTTAGCATGGCCATCCACGAGAGAACTGTCAAAGCTGACGTACCAGAATAAGACAAATGCACAGGTATAACACTCACATCAGCAGAAGATAATAGGTTGTTCCGGTGGTTTTCAGTGGCAGTGGGCCAACAAAAGTCCTGAATAGCAGCTGCTGGACAGTACCAGTAGTGGAATTTGACACTGGTGAAATACATATTGCAGACTATGGCAGTGAAACTCAAAGTAACGTTTGCTAGCAGTGGACAGAATATAGCAATGGTAAACCCCTTTTGAATATTTCATTCTTTGTAAATATGATCACAAGGCAATTCAAACGGAGACAAGAGATAGTACTGAAGGCAAACCCGCCCAGGCTGGAAGACACTCAGTCAGCTACTTGGAAGGAGCAAAGAATAAGTACAAATAGCACTGTCTCTAATGAACCAACTAGATTAAAGCCAAAAGGATCTAGTGGCTGGTGTGCATAGAGGCCAAAGGAAAATATGATGCTGGATAACAGATGTATAAATCAAGGTAAACTTACAACCTTGACACTAGAAATTGAATGCTTAAACTTTGAAATACTTGATGTGAGTGAACTAAAGTGGACTGGACTGGAACATTTTCAGCCAGAAAGTTCCAAAGTGTTTTATTCAGGCTAATGTCAAACTCAGAAGAAACAGTATTGCTCTAATAGTGAGGAAAGATATAACACAAGAAGATAGGGAATATAATACAAAATTTGTCCAAAATTATCAGATCTTTTGGAAAGAATAAGACAAATGCACAGGTATAACACTCACATCAGCAGAAGATAATAGGTTGTTCCAGTGGTTTTCAGTGGCAGTGGGCCAGCAAAAGTCCTGAACAGCAGCTGCTGGACAGTACCAGTAGTGGAATTTGACACTGGTGAAATACATATTGCAGACTATGGCAGTGAAACTCAAAGTAACGTTTGCTAGCAGTGGACAGAATATAGCAATGGTAAACCCCTTTTGAATATTTCATTCTTTGTAAATATGATCACAAGGCAATTCAAACGGAGACAAGAGATAGTACTGAAGGCAAACCCGCCCAGGCTGGAAGACACTCAGTCAGCTACTTGGAAGGAGCAAAGAATAAGTACAAATAGCACTGTCTCTAATGAACCAACTAGATTAAAGCCAAAAGGATCTAGTGGCTGGTGTGCATAGAGGCCAAAGGAAAATATGATGCTGGATAACAGATGTATTTGGAACCTGACACCCGAGAAGTATAAATCAAGGTAAACTTACAACCTTGACACTAGAAATTGAATGCTTAAACTTTGAAATACTTGATGTGAGTGAACTAAAGTGGACTGGACTGGAACATTTTCAGCCAGAAAGTTCCAAAGTGTTTTATTCAGGCTAATGTCAAACTCAGAAGAAACAGTATTTCTCTAATAGTGAGGAAAGATATAACACAAGAAGATAGGGAATATAATACAAAATTTGTCCAAAATTGTCAGATCTTTTGGAAAAACCTATCAACATTTAAAACTTTGCTTCAGTTACAGGTGCCAAAGAATTAAAAATTCTTTGTTAAACTGTTAAACGAAGGAGGAAATTGTTCACAGCCGGAAACAGGGTGTGTTGATAGTTATAGGTGACTGGAACAGAAATGTAGGAAATAAAGCAGAACCAAACGTAGTTGGCAAATTTGCTATAGGAATCAGAAATGAAGTCGGAGTAGTTCACAGAATTCTGTGAAGCCAACTGTAAGAATGTATTTACTTGAAATACATTCTTCAGGCTGTGCAAATAGATGGCCAATATGGAAACCAAATAGACTATTTAATTAAAACTAGCAGAGAAGCAGTATTCTCTGTACCAAAACCAGAGTGAGAGTGGAGTATACCACAGATCATGAACAGATAATATAAAAAATAAGATCAAAGCTGAAGAAAACTAAAAGGATCAGAGGGCCAAATATTACATTTCTGATAAATTTGAAGTTTATATACAGTTGCATGGCTAAACTCATTTGATCATGGACTAGAAAAACTATGGATTAAAATTAGATATATTATTAGGGGGAAAAAGTTGAAAGACTGGTCCTTTATTCAAAGGAAAAGAAAATGTCATTGAGTGATTAATATAATTCTTTAAAAAGTTATTAGCAGACTAATAGCAGAAGTAAAGGTGAAAGAAATGCAACTGCTTTGTATACTCTTCTCTGAGATCTCTTCCATAAGATCTGTGAAATCAAGGGAAATTTTAAATCAAGATGAATACAGAAATGCATTATTTGAACAGAGTAAGATAAAGAGGTGGAAACAGCATGTTGAAGAGTGATTAGAAGAGATGCAAGATGCAAGGGAAAAAAATCTGTGTTGAGGAACCTGCAATTATAAAAACTGAAAGCTGCTCTCACACACTTAAAGAAGTAAAACTCCAGGAGTGATGGGATATGGATATAACTATTTTAAACTACAGGGATGGAATCAGTCAAATTACATAGAAAAATATTCCAACAAACATGGAAAATAAAATAATGGCTCATGAATTGGACATGTTCAATGTACATTTCAATCTATGAGAAATGAGATACCAAGGAGCACAGTAGCCATAGGACCATTGTTTTGATCCCCCCATACAAGGAAGGTGATGCTTACAGTTTTGCAGCAAAGGCATTTACCAGTCTAAAATGAGAAATGCCAGGTGGTCAAGCTGGATTCCAAACAGAAATCCATATTGCAAATGGATGTTGGCTACTTGAAGAATTGCAGAACAAAATTAGTATTTTTATAGTGGAGTGTGTGTGTCACAAAAAATTGTGAACTGTTTTAAAAGAAGGATGAGTATAACCTATATTCTGGGCAAGAAGCTGTTAATTGACCAGAATACAGAGGTGTTAGGAAAGGGCATCCCCTTCATGGATTTCTGCCTTGTCGTGGTGAAGGGGCTTGAGTAATTCAGAGAAGCTATGGGCTATGCCGTGCAGGGACACCCAAGATGGACAGGTCATAGTGGAGAGTTCTGACTAAATGCAATCCACCTGGAGTAGGAAATGGCAAGCCACTCCAGTATCTTTGCCAAGAACGCCCCATGAACAGAAACAAAAGGCTAAAAGATATGACGCTGGAATATGAGCACCTCAGGTCGGAAGGCGTCCAACATACTACTGAGGAAGAGCGGAGAACAAGTAGAAGTAGCTCCAGAGCTAATGAAGTGGTTGGGCCAAAGCCGAAAGGATGCTCAGTTGTGGACGTGACTGGAAGTGCAAGAAAAGTTCAATGCTGCAAAGAAAGATACTACATAGGAACCTGGAATGTAAGATCTGTGAACCTTGATAAGCTGGGTGTGGTCAAACAGGAAATGACAAGAAGAAACGTTGACATCCTGGGTGTCAATGAACTAAAGTGGACAGGAATGAGAGAATTCAATTCAGATGATTATCATATCTACTATTGTGGGCAAGAATCCCGTAGAAGGAATGGAGTAGCCCTCATAATCAACAAAAGAGTGGGAGAAGCTGTAATGGGATATAATCTCAAAAATGATAGAATGATTTCAATATGAATCCAAGCAGACCTTTCAGCATCACAGTACATCTACTTCTGCTTCATTGACTATGCAAAAGCCTTTGACTGGGCAGTGACAGATTTTACTTTCTTGGTCTCCATGATCACTGCAGGAGACAGCAGCCATGACATTAAAAGACACCTGCTTCCTGGGAGGAAAGCAATTACAAACCTTGACAGCATCTTAAAAAGCAGAGACATCATATTTCCAACAAAAGTTCACATAGTCAAAGCTATGGTTTTTCCAGTAGTGATTTATGGAAGTGAGAGCTGGACCATAAAGAAAGCTGACTGCCAAAGAATAGATGCTTTGAATTGTGGTGCTGGAGGAGGCTCTTGAGAGTCCCCTGGACTGCAAGGAGAACAAATCTATCCGTTCTGAAGGAAATCAACCCTGAGTGCTCACTGGAAGGACAGATCCTGAAGCTGAGGCTCCAATACTTTGGCCATCTGATGAGAAGAGAAGACTCTCTGGAAAAGAGCAAAAAGCAAAAGCAAAGCATGCTGCTTATATACAGCCCCATAGTGCTTCAAGCACTCTCTGAGCGGTTTACAAGTTAATTATGCAGGCTACGCATTGCCCCCCCAGCAAGCTGGGTACTCATTTTACCAACCTTGGAAGGATAGAAGTCTGAGGCAACCTTGAGCTGCTACCTGGGATTGAATCCCAGGTCGTGAGCACAGTTTTGGCTGCAGTACAGCGGTTTAACCACTGTGCCATGAGGCTCCTGATGTTAGGAAAGTGTGAAGGCAAGAGGAGAAGGGGATGACAGAGGATGAGATGGTTGGACAGTGTCATCGAAGCTACCAACATGCATTTGACCAAACTCTGGGAGGCAGTGGAAGACAGGAGTGCCTGGCATGCTCTGGTCCATGGGGTCATGAAGAGTCGGGCATGAATAAACAACAACAACAACAGAGAAGGGCATATTTTATCTCCTTTTCTGTTTAATCTGTATGCCAAATATATAGAAAGATTGATTAGATGCAGATTAAGGAGGACTGAAAATTGTTGGAAGAAACATTAATAATTAGGAAATGCAGATGACACTATTACTGGCAGAAAGTAGCAATTTAAAAGAATGAAGGTGAAAGAAGGCAGTGCAAAAGCAGGATTACAGTTGAATATTAGTAAGATGAAAACCATAGTTGTAGATGAATAACATAAATCTAACATTGACAATGAAGAAACTGAAAATGTTATATTATTTATATTTTTGTTCAACCATCAATCCAAATGGAGACTGCAGACAAGAAATCCAATTAAGACAGAGAGTTGGACATTGTGAAGGAATTGAGAAATATCCTTAAGAGTAAAGATATGTCACTGTAGACCAAGATGAAGATATTCTTTACTGTTGGATTCCTGATTGCTTTATGAAAGCTGAAATGAGATGGAAGGGGGGAATTAGTTACAGTGGTGGCTTGCAAGACAAATGCCTTGCAGGACAAAAAACTCGCAAACTAATGGTTTTGGCAATGAGGTTGATGACTCGGAAGACGAATGTTCCTATGGCCGTGCTTTGCAAGACAAATGTTTTCCGTTTTTTGTTCCTGCCTCGT